CCATTTGCAACTAATAGGTTTTGCACCAGGAGGTGAGTCTACCAAAATCCAAGTTTTATTTGTCAAGATAGAATCAATTTCAGATTTAATTGCTTCTTTCCAAAATTTACAATCAGGAGAAGAAATAGCATCGGAGTATGTTAAAGGATCATTATCAATAAGAAAAGTTTGGAATCATTTCCATATGAAAATTCTTTTCTTGGCCTTTTGCTCCTTCTTAATTCCTCGATTGGAATAATTTCCTTATTTATTTCAACAGGTGCATGAGAAATTTTACTAGACAGTAGAAAAATATGTTCAAAAAATTCAGCATTCTTTGTCTCAATAATTGTATTACAATCTAGCACATCACTTCTTAAAACAAGAAATCTATATGCAGCACTATGTTCAGCATATCCAATAAACATATAATCAGAAGTTTTAGAACCTAATTTTCTTTTCTTAGGTTCAGGCAACAATACTTTAGCAAGATACCCCCATACTTTCAAATATTTCAAATTAGGTTTATAATTTTTTCATAACTCATAAGGGATTTTGCCAGTTTTCTTACGAGGTATCCTATTTTGTAAGTGACATGCAGATAAGATAGCTTCTCCCCATAAATTATCAGGAGCATGAGAACTAACTAACATAGAATTCATCATTTCTTTTAGTGTTCTATTTTTCCTTTTAGTTATTTCATTAGATTCGGGTGAATAAGGAGGTGTTATTTCGTGTATTATGCCTTCATGTTCACAAAATTTATCTAAGGCTAAATATTCGCCTCCTCTATCAGACCTAATTCTTTTTATCTTCTTATTAAGTTGATTTTCTACCTCAGACTTATAAGATAAAAAGGCATTATGAGTATCATCTCTATTTCTAAGTAAATAAAGTTTAGTATATCTGGAGTAGTCATCTATAAAAGTAACATAATATCTTTTGCTTCCTCTAATCAAAGTTTGTTTTAAATCACCTAAATCTGTATGGATTAAATTTAATAGTTCAGTTTCTCTTTGAACAGTTATACAAGTCTTCTTTGTCATTTTAGTTTCTGTACATATCTCACATTTGTCCATTTTTTCATTAATACCAGAAATTAGGCCACAAGATTGCATTTTCTTTATATAACTCATATTAACATGTTCTAATCTTGCATGCCATAAAGAAATTGAATCAACAATATAAGCAAAAGAAGAAGCATTCTCATTGATCACATTGAAAATGTTAAGTACAAAAAGTCCTTGGTTACAATAGCCTTTCCCTACAAACACATTATTTCTTGTCATTACAATCTTATTAGATTCGAATGACACTTTCATCCCAACTTTTTCAAGCAAAGCCACAGAAACAAGATTTGCCTGAATATTTGGAACATGCAACACACCATTAAGGGCCAAAGTTTTTCCTGAAGTGAGTTTCAAGAACACTTTGCCCTTACCAAGAACTTTAGCAATTCGTGAGTCTCCAAGGTAGACTACCTCTTCATCATCCTCTATTGAAGTATAGGAGGAAAACGCTTCTCGATTTACACATATGTGCCGAGTAGCTCCAGAATCTACCACCCACTCTTTCACATTGGCTACAATGTTTACTTGTGAGACTTCTGCAGCAATTATTTCATCTTCTTCGCCTAAATTAGCCTTAGGAGGATTACCAGTTGCTTTGTCACCTTTATTATATCTGCACTGAGCAGCATGGTGACCTGGTTTTCCACAACTGTAGCAATTGCCTTTCTTTTTCTTAAAATTGGGATTCTTTGGTTTGTAGTTGGGATTCCAAGACTTGTTAGTTTGGGACTTATTGGCGTACCTTTTGTTGTTGTTTTGTACCAGATTAGCTTTAAATGCCATCTCCTTTGCTTTGGCAGTTGTCAACTCCTTCCTGTGTGATTCTTCAATTAGGATATGTTTCACGAGTTCATCAATTGTGTAATTTTCTTCTTTGTGCTTCAGGTTATTTTTGCAGTCGGCCCATGACTCGGGTAGCTTTTCAATTAGCATGCCTGCAGCAAATTTCTCGAGTAGCTTGATCTCTTCATTTTTCAACTCCTCGAGTAACATTTGGTATTCTGTGACCTGAGCTTTCATTTCTTTGTCGTCGGTCATCTGCCATTGATTGTACTTTCCCACAACAAATTTTTGTTTGGTTGCGTCTTCAGCGGTAAACTTCGTTACCAACGCTTCCCAAATTTGCTTGGCTTCTTTGCAGCTACAGAATACATCAAATACCTCATTAGAAAGCGTTTGTAAAATTGTATGTCGACATACCTTATTGGCATATTGCCATGACTCTTGTATCTTGACATCTACGGTGGCAGCAGGTTGAAATTCTGTCAGTGCATAGGCTACTCCATGAATGTTGAGTAGAGAGTAGACACGTTCTTTCTACCTTTTGAAGTTTTCGTCAACAAAAATCTCAATTCTAGAGACGTCAGGAAATGGTTTCGTAATAGGTAGTGCGACTGCGACTGCTGCGGAGGATGGTTGTGGGGTGTTAATACTGTCGGAGGCCATAGTTTCTTAGGGCTCCATTTGGATTTGAGAGTTTTTGAAATACTTGTTTTTCATCTATAATGCTACAGTAATACAAAAACAAAAATAACTCCAAAAACACCATATCCAAACAATATATCAAAAACAACTCCAAATATACAAAAAATATATTAATATATATATTTATATATAAATATTATATACAAAAAAAATATATTTTGTTTAATAAATGTATATATTTATATATAAATATTTACACAAAAATTAATATTTATATTTTGTTTAAAATAAATACATATACTTATAAATTAATAAAATATATAAAAAAATAAATATATATATATTTATATATAAATATTAATATATTTTTTTAAAATATATTTACATATATGTTTATGTAAATATATAAATATATTTATTTATATATATTTATATAAATTTATAAATATATTTATTTCAAAAAATTAAATCAATAAAATATATATAAAATTAATAAAATAAATATACAAAAAATATATAAAAAAAATTAATAAAAAAAAATATAAAAAATAAATATATATTAGTATTAATATTTTGTTTAAAATATATTTATATATATTTATGTAAATATATAAATAAATTTATTGATATATATTTATATAAATTTACAAATATATTTATTTCAATTTTGTTTTATAATATTTATATTAATATATATTAATATGTATATTTCAATTACGTATATTATATCATATATATATATAAATTATAGTAATATTAATATATTTCAATTATGTATATTATATATATTATATCAATTGAAATAAATATTATATATTTATATATAAATATAAATATTTTGTTTAAAATATATTTATATATTTATATGAATATATAAATATATTTATTTCAATTTTGTTTTATAATATGTATATTAATATATATTAATATGTATATTTCAATTTTTATATATCAATTATGTATATTATATTATATTTATAAATTACATTAATATTAATATGTATATTTAAATTATGTATATTATATATATTATATCAATTGAAATAAATATATATTTATATATAAATATAAATATTTTGTTTAAAATATATTTTATAAATATATATTTCAATTTTGTTTTATAATATGTATATTAATATATATTTATATATGCACATTAAATATATATTAATACACATATTATATTTTTAAATTATATTTATATTATATATTAATATATATAAATATACATATTATAAAACAAAATTGAAATAAAAATATTAAATATATAAATAAATAAATATTAATATATAGAAACAGAGCCAGTATATATTTAAAAAAAATTCCAAAAAAATTGTAAATTATAAAAATACTCAAGAATATTTTTTAAAAATACCTCTAAAAACAATCCAAAAAACATCAACAGTAAAAGTTTTTTATATACACAGCTACAGTAAAGTTTTTAAAAAACACCTCCAAAAATAGTTAATCCAAACGGAGCCTAGATTGTTGTCGAAACGGCCACAACAGTGTTAACACTATCTGCTTGAGTCGTGCATAGCACTGTCCTAAGAAACTATTTCATGAAATTGAAATGTCTCCCCAAGATTAAACAAGCCTTCTTCTATTTGTTGCGAACAAGAAAGACAAACTTTCTTCTTGTTGCAAACTAGAAGGACCAGAACTAGCAAATTAAAACCAACAGATATAGAGAGAGAAGATGAGAACAGAATTGTCAGGAAGGTATCAACTGACAGAAATAAGAGAGAGAGAGGGAGAGAGAGAGAGAGAGAGAGAGAGAGAGAGAGAGAGAGAGAGAGAGAGAGAGAGAGAGAGAGAGAGAGAGAGCAGCTATCAGAAAGATATCAACTGAAGCTGTTGGGGTGATTTTTTGATGAGGGAATGGATCCTATCTATAGATTTTAGAATGAGGTGCAACCCTTCTCACTTCCGATGTGGGACAAAGACTGCAACTCTTCTCACTTCTCAATGTGGGATAGAGAAAGCAATACTTCTCATTTTTCGATGTGAGACAAAGAATATTTTTGAAATACTATATATTTTACAACACTGTGAACCAAAACACTTTAGTCCTAAAGCGTAAAAAGCATTTTATTATTTTATCTTTAAAAGATTAAGAACATTTTTTTTCCTCTCCTAACCAAAAAATAGGAGTTAAAAATTATGAATTACAAAAGGGTCCCGTTTGATAAATGAGTTTTTTTAAATGTTTGTCTAAAACTTTACTGTAGTTTACTAAAAAATTTTTGAAGTGTGTAAATTTTTAGATATTTTGAAGTATATAGTTTAAAAATTTTGAGAAATTTTTTAAGATTATTATAGTAAATTTGTTAAAAATTTATAGCAGACAAACTTGATCAAAAATTTGCTTGCCAAACAGGCCCAAAATTTTACATTTTCAGTAAAGTTAGAAATGAGGTTAAAAAAAAATGAAAATGAATCTATTTGGCGTGAAAAGGCGCGATTGATTTATGCTTGACGTATGGAGCGGTCCCAGTAACGAAGTGCATTGTACACAATCACACTGCAATGACGACTTTACTCTTCAAATCAATGAATACTACAAAGAAAATGAAGGAAGAATTGCCAAACTCAGCTCGGGTAAATAATGGGTTCATTTCATGTTATGGGTCTTGATTGCCACCATGTTTGCTTGTTTGTGATCTTTACAGTTTTGTTTGAACATTCTTGTAAGATCTATCATTCTACCTTGACTAGAAGAATCAGCTGTAATTCAGGCAGCAACATATTTGACAGTCTGATTTCTTGCTAATTGATTCATTTTCAGAATTGATTCAGCAATAATATGTGCATTCTGAGTATGCATAGAAGGCTTCCTTTCAGGATTTTTAGATCTGAGTTCTCACACACTCAGTCACACACATAAACACAAGCACTTAGTGTATATGCATGCTCTAGCTTCCAAGAAGTTGAATTATGGAAGAAAGGTTCTTAGGAGGTAGTATTATTCTTGCAAAGCTTTTGGTTTTTTCTTTTCTTTTCTTCTTTTTTTGGTAGGAGGTAGTCTTGAACTCTGGTGTTTAAACTTGCAAAAAGGGCTTAGCTTTAGCATTGAAAAGTTTACCAGTTGGTATTACCTCTTGAGAAGCTAGCTTCGGAATTGAGAGATTAATGGAGGTGACAATAGTTTTTTAAGTTTTATTACCTGCTAGTTTGAGATTAATTTCACGTTGAAATTTGTATTGACTTCCCTCCAGTTTCTCTAGGCTAGCTGGATTGATTTTTTTAGAGAAGAAAGAAGGGAAAGAAGCAAAAAGAATACATGGCCTCCCTCATCCCTCACATGGTAAAGAGGCTATGGGATGAGTGGAATCTTCGCGCTGCAGTCCTTATTAGTCTTTTCTTCCAAATGGTGTTATTATCCTTAGCAACATTTCGGAAACGAACAGGAAACAGAATAGTGAATGCCACAATATGGTCTGTTTATCTGCTTGCCGATTGGCTTGCTGCTTTTGCTGTTGGACTCATCTCTAATGGCCAAAGTAATGACAATCCTGATAAATTCAGAGTAAATAAAGATCTTGCAGCATTCTGGGCTCCATTTTTATTGTTACATCTTGGTGGCCCTGATAACATAACTGCTTTCTCCCTTGAAGATAATGAGTTGTGGATCCGGCATCTGCTTGGGCTTGTCATTCAGCTTCTTGCTGTTGCTTACGTCTTTTCCCAGTCCATCCCTAACGTACTCTCAGTTCCCACAATACTCTTGTTTTTCGCTGGAGCTATTAAATATGCTGAGCGAACTCGTGCTCTATATTCAGGTTGCTTGGGTAATTTTAAGGCTTCTATGCTTGATACTGGACCAAATTATATTCCGCTTATGGAGGAGTACTCAGCTAATAAAGATGCTGATGTTCCGGTTAGGATAATAATAGAGAACGAACCTAGGAGAGTCCTTCAGACTTCTGAAATTCTAGATGAAACAGATTGGACTACTGAAGAAGAAATAACTCACCTAGAAGTTGTGCAGAAGGGGTATGAATTTTTCACCACTTTTAGGGGGCTGATTGCTGACCATATGTTTAGCTTCCATGTGCCTAATAGAAGCAGAAGATTCTTCTCCCAAATTTCTGCCCATGATGCTTGCAGAGTATTGGAGGTGGAGCTCAATTTCATGTATGATTCTCTCTACACTAAGATGGCTGTGGTGCACAGTAATATAGGTTTTGTTTTCCGTTTCATCTGCTCTGTACTTATAGTGCTTTGTTTTGTGGAATTTGCATCACATCGTAGTTCCGAGATCAACCATTTTGATGTTACTGTTAACTACATTTTGCTTTATGGTGCTGTTGGCTTGGATCTTGTGGCTTTGATTAAGGTCATTTTCTCTGACTGGACTGTAGTTGCGCTTAAGAATCGCAGAATTAAACGAATCGTATCTGCCGTCCGTGACAAGCTGTCATCCGATCAAAGGTGGTCTAATACAATCTCGCAGCATAACTTGATCAATTTTTGCCTGAATCAGCGGTGGAGATGGTTAGATATTGCAGCTGAAACCGTTGGACTCAAGGCATTTCTTGATGAACTGAAATACAAAAAGGACTTTGTCATTCAGAATAATTTGAAAGAATTTATCTTTGACGAGCTCAGGGGTAAAGCTTACAAAGCAAGAACCACTAAAGTTGCTAAAGAAATATACTCGGCAAGAGGTAAAAGTGCTCTGTCAGATTACATTGGCTACAGATCTGAGACCATGTCATCAAGTGTAAGTGAGGAAGTTGATTATGATGAAAGCCTGTTGCTGTGGCATATTGCCACTGAGCTATGCTATTCCACAAGCCCTGATGATAAAAATTCCAATCGTGAATTTTGCAAGCTTATATCTGATTATATGTTGTATCTCTTGGTTATGCGGCCTACAATGATGTCTGCAGCTGCTGGCATTGGACAGATTCGATTTCAGTACACGTGTGAGGATGCTAAGAATCTTTTCAGCAGGTTGAAGCCAGAATTAAGGCCATCAATTTCAGCAGCCTTCACATCCAAGATTACAGCAGCAACCCGACAAAGAGATGCATGTGAAAAGCTACTTAATGAATGGGAAGTGCTACTTAATGTAAATACAGATGATAAACCCGATGCTCTGAAGGGTGGCACAAGAAAATCGGTGCTTTCTGCTGCCTGTAGGCTCGCAAAGGATTTGAGAGATTTGGAGGATAATAAAAGAAGGTGGGAGATAATGAGCAAAGTGTGGGTGGAACTGTTGTCCTATGCTGCCGGCCACTGCCGACCATATGCTCATGCTCAGGAGCTCAGTAAAGGGGGTGAGCTGATTACTTTCGTTTGGATGCTGATGGCTCATTTTGGATTATTAGAACAATTTTGGATTGTGGCTGGGCATGCGAGACCAAAATTGATTGTGGAAAAGTAGGGATTATAATCAGGTAAAGGCAGAATAAGAATTTTCTTCTTGACTGGAATCAAATAGAGTTCTTCGGCCAGGATTACTTCCCCGGCTTGGTGAGTGATTCTTCTTGTAGAAGAAAATTTTCATTTCAGTATGATAACTCAAGCTAATTTTCCTTATTCATCGAAAGCTGTTTGTATATTCATCTTGTTTGACATTATGGCACTATTGAAACTCAGCGAGTATGAACATTTATGAAGCATATATACAGATAACAATTGGTATGCATTCCATTTCCCGTCATAGTCTACCATTCCCTTTCCTTTTGAAGGTACCAAAGAGTTTCATGGGAAAATACAAAAAGTTGCAAAACCACTAAGAGTTAGAGGTCCATATAACACGATATTTGCACAATATTTAAGAGTATGTAGTTCTTAAAAATGCATATACTTGGGATTAGAGTTTTTATTGAACAGAGTTGTTGGTGAAAATCTTCATGTTGAACTCGTTTGAATGCAGAAAAACATTTGATATGTAATAAACAAATCGAATTTGAACACAAAATTAGGCACATTTGATAATCGAGCTAAACATGAACCTATTTCTAAACCATTCGAATAGATTCCTGAACACATAATTATAAAGAATAAGTAAATACAAATATCTGCATTGTATGTATATTACCAAATATGAGTAAATACACCTGGATTTCCCCTTAACAAAGTAATTATCCATGAATTATTATTATTTATTTTCTAAACAAAACCAATATAATTATAATTATTCTAAATTATGTATTAGTTTTAAAAAATTAGAATTAAATCATTTTCAACCTCAAATTTGAGCTCCATTCGACACTATTTGACTCCTTAAAAGCTTTATAAGACAATTATAGTAGTTGCGCATGATTAATTATCAACTCAACCTCCGTGTCTGAGTCAATTGTGAGAAACTATCTTAGTAATATATCGGTAAACATGTGGATGTCTTCTCGTCAAGTTTGTTGGCAAAAGGAAAATATAACAACAATAATTGGGTCATCTCATCAAATAAACTTTTTTGAATTTAGGGTCTATTAATTGGATGGTATATCTTTTTCCTATTTTATAAAAATAAAATTTATTTAAAACACTATCTATAGTCACAGTCTAAAATACCCATAAGCTAAAGAATAGGATTTATAGTAGCATGAAGTTTTAGACAAGGAGATGGGTATTGAGTTTACCAAAAATAAAAATACCTACACAAAGAAAATTTTGCTTTTTGTGTGCAGTGAGGAGTAGAGTCATTTTCATAGGAATTAATTGATTTATTTCTTTGCAGTAACTATCAATAAGAGGAAGGGGAGGGTGAGGGAGGGTTTGAGAACTTAAACTAAAGTACCTTAAATAAAAAAAAGTAATAACAAAATATGCATACCTCTAGTCAAAGGAATAATCTTGGTTTTGGTTCATTCCACCAATCATCAATGTAAGGAAATTTATATATTTATGAATAAATTAGTTATGATAATCAATAAGTTCTGACAACATGCCTCTCCTTAGTTTTTGAATAACCAAAACAAGCTTTTTGATTATTTCTCTTGTTAATAGATAACCATAAGCAAGCTCTAAAGATTTTAATGTATCGACAGCACTAATAACTAGAAAGTTCACCAATTTTAATCAGCAAACTCACAAGTTCAATTCATTTAAATTAGATCATATATTTTCAGTACGTATAAACAAATATGCTGCTTGTCACAAGTATCAAAACAATCAAACAATTATAGATTTGACATTTCAATTGATAATAGACTATTCTGAATAATTAAATATTGACCACCTATCTAATCACACAAAATGCTCATCACGCAGTCAGTGCAAAAAATATATAAATACTCATGAATAAGTTAATAGGTTATCTATCATGTAATTGCTAAAGAAGGGTGTAGGCGGTCAATAAGTTATCTTCCAATCACTAAAAAGCCTAGCAAGACTCTATATCCAACCTATTGGAAGGTTGTAAGAAAATAACAAGTTATTGAAAACCTTATTCTTTTTAGTCATCTAATTTTGATAATTAGAAAAATAATAAAAATGAATTGACATGTTAATTGACTAGAAACACGTGAGAAATGAAGGATGTTAGTTATCCCTTGCACCAAAGAAATCAAATAAAGTAGATGGCGGATGAAGAACGAAGTAGGTAGTATTTAATAGTCAGCCAATTCCATTACATTCAAATCAAGCTTAATTAATACTCCTCTGTCCGATTGAAAGTGTCATATTTTTCATTTTGAGATGTTCTAATATATTTATTCTGTTGAGAAAGTTAAAATACATTTTAGTCTCTTTTTCTAATATAACCCATCTCTCTAATTATATGCATATTATCATTCAAATTCAAAAATTGAATTTATAAGGATGAAATTGAAATGAGAAGTACAAGTATTACAATCAAATTATTATTTTTAAAAAATTAAATTTCCGAAACAAGACCAAATAATTTGATAGAGGGAGTAATAATTTCCAGATTGCTTCGGTTCACTTTGGCTTTAGGGTTACATCTTTCTCACAATTACCACCTTGGTTGTCAAAAATATATTGACTAAAGATGTCCTTTTTTTTTTCCCAAATGATAATATTTTATAGATATTAACATTTAAGAATATAAGAGCTATTTACAAAAAGAAGCAACCGCCTCAATTCTTTCCGTGTCGTGTCAGTTAACCACACAGGAAAAGTTTTAGCTTCCCGTTCAATGTCCTTGAGAGTCGCAAGCTTACCCAGAAATGCAAGATGCAATTAGCATCTGTAAATGCAACCTGAGTATTCTTTTGACGTGTAATGGAGGTTGGGAAGAGTGGGACAACATCCACTCCGAGGAACATGTTTTAAAGAAATAAATGTGATCCAGAAAAAAGAATCAAAAGCAGACTATCTACTTTTATTATTTTTCTTTCTCAGACATAAAAGTAAAGAGAAATAATATTGGTTTACAGGTTGCCTCTGAGATATCTTGAATCAAAAGCAGCCTATTTTACTTTTATGATGCATTCAACGCTGCTGAGTATGGCCCAGGAAAAAGCCAAAGGGTATTTCCAATCTACATGAACTCTTTATCTGGATTAAACGAAAAAAGAAAAAAGAAACAGTGCTGTCGCACCATGTGCAAGCCTTTTTTTTTTTTTTACGTGACATTTATTGAACTAAAAAAGGAAAAAAATTAAAAAAATTATAAATGCTGCTCTTTATCTTGGAATAGTAGGGTTTATATTTTAAATAAATATTTTCATGCATCGTTAGTATATACACTTACAAATCTAAATGTATATCATACATAAAAAGTTTGGTATTTAATACAGTACTATTTCTTTTTTTTTAATTATCATTTTATATTTTAGTCCTCGGACTGGAATGTAAAATAATAATAATAATGTGTCACCACGCATGGGCGATATTGTTTAGAAAAAATTGGAAAAAAAATGGGTTTTGCCAAATGTATGGTGATGCTAGATCAAGCAAGCCAACCCACAAAAGCCCCACTCTTTGTGATCTTTTTCTTTTACAGCATTAGTTTGAGAAATTTGCCTCTCAAATAATCCTCTTTCAAAGGTAGAGTATTTACTATTTGCGCTTATTCACAAGCTGAATCATCAACTCTCAAAGGTAGAAAATCAGCAAGTATGCATTACAAGTATGCCAGCATCTCAGAAATTACAACCGGAACTATTATATCATAAGATCAAGTGCCATCAGAAACAAAGTTATTTGAGCCATTAACATCAGTTTTTCTTCTTCTTTTCTTTTTGTGTTAGCACGAAAAATTATGTACACGACAGAAGCAATTTTAGCACATATAAAAATACGTGAGAAGAGGGAAAGAAATAAACTCACAATGAAACATCAATAATTTTATTAAACCAAATCTCAAAAACAACAAAAGACAAGCCGGAGACCTTTCACTCTTGTGCTCACGGCTCTCACAATTCTCGCCAGGCTCTAACAATTTCTTGGAGCCGTCCCTCCTCCAGTGTTAACATGTTAGCAGTACTACTATATATAGACTATTGAATCAAGAAACAACTATTCAATTAGATTCTATCTCAAAACTAATACTAATCACCGACTAAGCCTTTGAAAAGGAAACTAACTAATAACTAGTACTAATCTTCCAATAACTCTGGAACTTACACGAAACTAAAACAATTAGGAAATAAAATAGCTTAGTTTAACTTTCACCATTTTCTTTTATTTTTCTAACAAAGGGATGATGAGATTTAAGAATCGAAAAAGGAACATGAAACTAAGAACCTAAAACCCTTAATTCTTGGGATCTCAACTTTAATCATGAATTTACAATGAAATTTGGACTCTCCAAGTCAAGATAGACAAAAAGTGAGAACTCAGTTTTTGTCCATTTCAACTCCACAACGCACAAGTATGCCAGCTTCTAAGAAATTACAACCAGAACTAAATCGCAAGATCAAGTGCCATCAGAAACAAGTAAATAGAGCCATTAACAGCATTTTGAGATTTAAGAAGTGGGGAGCGGGGAATTATAAATTAGAATCTGCGATCAGGTCCACTAGAAAATCGGTCAAATTCTCATTCAGCCGTCAGCCAGGCCTGCCGTCGAGAGAGCGCCGCCGCCTGCTTTTGTCGCATCTCATAGACGAGCCTCCTCTCGTCGCATCTCCTCCTCCTCCTTTTGGATTTGTTCTGGAATTATCGTTGCTAAAGTCCTGGCAACTAAGGGAAGGCCAGCACAATTTTCCCTGATTATCTCCTCCATCTTTAACAGAGTGCTGTTATTCACATCAACTCTTCGATTTTCACGGACAGCTTCAGAAAACACTGACCAGCCAATCTCTTGGTCCAGCAGAGTATCAATTGGCATCAAGTTCTTCTCACCTATCATTTCTGTTGCAACACTCTTTCGCCTAGTTGTGACAATAATTCTCCCACCACTGTCTTTGGGCAATGCATGAGATATGCAGTCCCCGAATGATGCATCATCGCCTTTTGGCAGCTCAGAGCATAAATCCCCATACCAACCATTAACATGCCAGGCCTCATCCAACACAATAAGATACCTCTTGCCCGTTAGTCGACGGTAAAGCTTCTCGGTGAGATTGGGAATATCGCCAACATTAGCAGTCGACAATTCCGAGACATCACCACCAGCCTGCTCCAGCATTTTACTTAAAATCTTCACTCTCAAGTCCCCGCTCACCGGCGCATCATAGAGGGTCCCAGACAAAGAAACCCAAA